CAACTTGAAAGGAAACTAAGAGAATTTGAGGGAGAGAAGGGAAGGGAGCTCTAGAGAAGTGTTTGAGAGCTCTCCCCCTTGGGGTGTGTTTTGAAGCTTGAAGGCTTCTCTATTTATAGGGCTAAGAGGGAGGAACATCATGATGGATTCCTGGTCTGTCCTTGCAAGTGCACAAGATTGATGTAGTATAGCTTTTGACAAGTCCAAGTATCGTTCCCACGAGGATTCCAAATTAATCTAATATTCAAATACCTAAATTAAATCTAACTGATACGCAAGTGAATTTGTAGAGATTGTTGTTGTGAAAGTTTATGAAAACAAAGAAATTAATAAAAACAATTGAGAATAAAAAGGTTGAATTTTAAGGTTAACAAACAATGATGAAGGTCTAGGGTTTCGGAATCAACCACAAGCAATCCAAGTTAGATTTCAATGCATTCAACAGATTCTTTCGATTCTTTAGATGATAATTCCCGTATCTAAGTCCTTTTCAGGCACTCAGACCATAGTTTTCCTTAAGTGTAAGATTCTTTTCTAGTTCAGACAAAGATCATATACCCAATCCTGCAATCTATCCTGGTTAAGGCATAAATTTAACAAGTTGAATTCATTACGTTCTAGAAAATGAGAGAACCAAGCAAACCATTATTCTTTGTCAAGCAATAATGTAATTCACCACACTTAATCACAAGAAGCTAATTGAATTATATTGCGAGTTCTGCCTCAAATTCATCTTCCAATTTACTAGATGCAAAGCCCTAAGGTGATCAGTCAAAGAACTTAAACAAATAGCAACAATTAAAATAGTGATTAAACATTCATCTAAAAGAAACTTAGAATCCATTAAATAACATTAGAAATCATAACTATCCATGCTCGGGCGTCATCCTCGCCCTAGAGAATAACTTAGTTACTCATGTTCAAAGAAAACATAATTGAAAAACTAGAGAACATAAAATAAAACTTATAGATTGTGATGATGCTCGAGAACTTGACGATGGCAGCGGCTCTGACTCTCCTTCAAACTCCAGCCTCCCAGAACCTAATTTCTGGTCTTCATTAAATAAGGAACAAATCCTCTTTCGACTTGGTAACTATGCTTTCCTAGTTTGGCTTCAATTGTCTTTGATGAGTTGGCATCCAAAATCCTACTAGGTATAGGATCAGACCTTAGAAAATAACTCCACATCCTTGTAGACACTTCCCAAATTTAATTGACACAAATTAAACTCCGAGGATTGAACTTCAAAAAGATTATTTTGCAAAACCCGGCAGAACACATTCTGCCCGAACTGTCTGTACTAAAACGGCCACAACTCTCTCCACACACGTCCGAATCACGAACCGTAAAATTCTACAGAAAGCTAACATCCGTATCTTTCCAAAGATATAAGGTTCAACATCTGGTTCGCTCTGAGGAAGTACAGTATATTCTGTCAAGTTGACTGTTCTGCACAGCACATTCTGCTCCCAGGATTTCACATCATATTTCAATCCCAAAATTCCTCCTTTTGCTTGCTTTACCATCTTTACTCTTCAAACCTAGTAAAACACAAAACTAAGTAAAAATGGACTAAACTCACTCAAGAACATAGCAAGAATCTAAGAGAAAGATAATAAAAATGTACGAAATAATGGTCATATCAAATACCCCCAAACTTAGACTTTGCTTGCCCTCAAGCAAAACAAAACAAAACAAAGACTCAAAAGAATGTTAGGCCTCCACATATTAGTCTCAATAAATCACGCAAGGTATATAACTCTAAAGAATCAAATAATCATCATAAAAACCACAAGCATGATTCAAAAGTTAACAAAACCGTACATAACATTCTCAAGTGTAGTGTGTGAAATAGCCAATAACAATACAACTCACTCAACCCGGATAGGTATATGCAAATCAAAGCTTCAACTCCAAATCTCACCAAGAATGTCACTCACAAAGAAACGCTCAAAGTTTGGGTTAAGTGTTTCACTCAAGAAAAATGAATGTATGAAAACAAAATCAAATCCTATAAGCTTGCGCTTCATATCACATCTCCACAAATTAAATTCACACAATTTCTAGGATCAAAAGGTCTTAAATTACGGTTGTAATGGGGTTATGGGTTAAGGTTAAAAGAAAGAATGGGTATGGAAAACAAAAATATTCTATGAGAGTTAGTAGAGCATGTGATGACCATGAAGGATTGCAAATTCTCTTGTATCTCTTGTGGTATCACCAATTATACACTTCATTGGAAGCCAAATTTCATTGTTGGGCTTCAACTTCATTTTGATCAACATCTTTTCTCAAACTTTTTGAATCTTGACAATATTGAGGTAGTGAAACAATTTTTTTATTTTTATTTTATTTTATTTTAATTTTTAATTTTATTTTTTTTAACAAACACCAACCTCAAACTCATCTTTGTTTCTATTTTTTAATCTTTTCACAACAACTTTTATACTCACAAGGTCAGGTGCAATTCCCCCAAACTTAAAGCTCCACCAATTTTCATAGAACAAGGTAGGATGAAGTGTTTAAGTTTATGGTTAAGGATAGTGTGGTTCATGAAAGAAAAGGCTTATTTAGGCTCAAAGGGCTATCTAAGGGATAATGTAATAGGGACAAAAGCTTCTTTGGCCATGGTGGTGATCCTAGGTGCCTTAATCACTTCCTAGATAGAATCATGTGAATCAATACAAAGACTTGAAAGATATTGAAGCAAGTTCTAGTAGATGATAATGCCCTCATGAAAAGAATATATAACTCTCAAGAAAAGAATATGCATGAGGCTCAAAAACTCACAAGGGTTATACAAGTCTACACTAAAACCCACATATAATTCTCTAAGTCAAGAGCAAATTGCATTAAATTGGCTGTGCATTGAAAATTTGAGAATAATCATGTAAGAAAAAGTTAACTAAAGAATCACACTTGAAATTCACATAATGATTACCAATCCTCAAAGGCTATAAAACAAGTACAATTCAAGTGCTATCATTGACTTGTGGAAAGCTTAACTAAAATGACTCAACAAAAGGAAAAAGAAAATCTTTTTATGGGTTTTGTGACTTTAAAAACAACAACTTAACGACTGAACTACAAAAAACGCAAAAGAAATCAAATAGGACTCAAACAAACCAAGAAAACAAAGAGTTTCCAAAATGCAGTTTTTGGCTGTTTCGACCTCTGTTCAGATTTTAGCTCATAACTTTCAAACCGCTGGTCCGATTTCAACGTTATTTATATGGTTAGATTCAGTACGAAAAAAAGAAGAACGCAACGCGGACCAAATTGTCATAACAGTTACCAATTAAAACAGTTTTAAGCAAAACGAAACCCTACGTTTTCAGACATTAAAAATTTGCAAGGACAAACAAGCAATAAAGCAGATTATTCCCCCCAAACTGAAATGAAACATTGTCCTCAATGTAAAAAGAATGAAAATGCAAGCAATGAATCAAGTAAAGGGAGAAAAGAATTCAAATAATAAAGTATAAAGTAAAGAGTAAAGATGAGAACTCCCTGGGCATATAATCTCGAGTAGGAAGTGCTGCAAACGCCAAGATCCTCTCATCATCATCATGCATCCAAAACATGGGTTGCCTCCCAAGAAGCGCTAAAGTTAAAGTCTTCAGCCGGACTCAGCGATCTTCACATAGATGGGGGAGTATCGAGGTACAACACCTCGAGAGTCTTACTTTGATCTTGCAAAGTATCAATTTGCTCCAAGTAAGGTTTGAGGCGATGCCCATTCACCTTCAAGACAGAACCTGTTTTCATGTCTTGAATCTCAACAGCCCCATGTGGAAATACACGAACAACTAGAAACGGTCCAGACCATCTTGAACGAAGTTTGCCCGGAAATATTCGAAGTCTTGAGTTGAACAACAACACCTTGTGATTCGGCTCAAAATGCTTGGGTACTAGTGCTTTGTCATGGGCAATTTTTGTCTTGTCTTTATAAATCTTCGCATTCTCGTAAGCTTCATTTCGCAATTCATCCAATTCATTAAGTTGGAGTTTCCTTGCAATCCCAGCTTCATTTATGTCAAAGTTCAATGTTTTTAATGCCCAAAATGCTCGATGTTCTAACTCCACCGGAAGATGGCATGCTTTTCCAAAGACAAGCTGATAAGGAGACATGCCTAAAGGAGTCTTAAAAGCTGTCCGATATGCCCAACACGCATCGCTCACCTTCAAAGCCCAATCTTTACGGTTTTGATTCACG